GCTATGGCTGATATGCCATCTGCAACACTAACACAGTTCACATTGCCTTTACCTGGTACTTCAACCTAACTTCAGGCTTGCCACCTAGCCACGTTCCTGCTGTCTGGCTCAGACATTAAAAATGCCAGGGCTTTCTGAAATCAATTAACTTTGAAGTGAGCTACAGCTGCCATTCATTGTATTATTCGATATTAGTGAGTCTAAAGATACAAACAATAGGCAGGACAGAAACCAGCTTGTTCCCAAAATCTACTGTTGATGGCACTGGGGATACTAGTCAGAATAGTTAAACCAAAGAATTTAATTTAGTACTTGCTCAATTAAGTACCAACTAAATGCACAGTACTTTGTGCTACCGTCCACTAGCACTGGTGCATGTTTTTTTTGTGGTGCCTACTGCGCAGTAGCCTAATACTACTGTGCAGTAGCGTATTAGCATGGGTTTTGTATGGGGCTATGGGGGAGGCTACAGGCACCCAAAAATTCACTGTAGCCCCCCCAGCCTGCTCCCAGTACTGCTGCCGCCGACCCCCAGCCCAAAGAGCCCGGTGCTGCCCTGGCCCCAGCCTGCCCCACCCCACCTCACGTGCAGATCCGGGGGCACACGCCCACCCATGCTCTCCCTGGCTGCGTGCCCCCCAGAAAAGCCACTGGCGGCTCCATCCCATGCCACATGCTTGGCTGTGCAGCACCTGCGCCAGCCCCACTCCCTGTCACCCCTGCGTACATGCCCCTCCCCACCCCTGCTGCAGCTGCCAGAAGCCCGCAGCCGCACTGCCTTGCAGCTCTACCGCTGCCCTGCATTTGGAGGTGATAAACCCCATTAGCCCCCCCCACACTTCCACTGCCTATGCTCCCGCGCCCCCTGCCACTGGGTGAGTGGGGCCCTGGCTAGGCTGGGCCAAGGGAGGGTCAGAGCCCAGGTGGCTCGTCCAGTGGTGTGTGGTGGGGGGGAAGGGGGAGGGCTCCTGCTGCTGCACACACCCTGGCACAGGTCCAGAGGGCATGTGCCTCCCTGATCTGTGTATGGGGGGAGGTGGCTGCTGCTGTGTGCTGGGCTTTGTGCCCCAGGCTTTGTGCCCTGAGTGCCAGTCACAGCTTGTAGCACAAAGCCCAGCATGCAGTGGCAACTGCCACAACCTGCAGACAGATTGGGGGGCACATGCCCCCTGGGCCTCCGCTGGGTTGCATACAGTGGCAGGAGCCCTCCCACATGCCTGGATGACCCACCTGGGCTCTGACCCTCCCCCGGCCCGGCCCAGCCATGGTCCCACTCACCTGGTGGCAGGGGGCGTGGAGGGGGAAGATCTATTCACTCAGCTGGGCCCCAGCAGCAGGGGGCATGGCTTAGCACAGCCACATGCATCCTGCTACTCCTAAGTCCCACTGCTCCTGGCTTGTGTCCTGACTGCTCCCGATCATGAAGCCTCTGACAGTTGATCTCAGTCAGGGGGCCTACTCCCCACAAGACTGAGATCGATTGTCAGAGGCTCCCCAATCAACCAGTCACGCGGGATCAACCAACTGGTGACCAGTGTCCTAGGGGGTACTAATATGGCTGATAAATGCGTGCGTGCAGCTGCAGTGCAGCACATAGGCAGCCAGGAGATTAGCTGGGTCTGGCTGGTAAGTATGTTGTGAGGGAAGGGGCTGAGGGAGGGGAGAGGGGGCAGATCAAGGCCCCAGCCGTTGGGGAAGGAACGGGGCTAGGGCTGGGGCAGGGGCTGCCCAATTGGGCCGGGGCGCTGGACCAAGTCACATGGGGGGCGGCTCCTGCCGCTGTGCACACCCCAAGAGAGCATGGGAGGGGGGTGCCCCCTGAATCTACATGGGGCAGGGCGGGATGCCACTGCGGGCTGGGGCTGGGGCTGTACTGCGCTCTTCCTGGCAAGGGCTGGGCCAGGATGGGCTCTGGGCAGGCAGTGGTGGTGCTGGGAGGGAGCTATGGGAGGGGCTGCAGCCACCCCAAAATGTCCAATAACCTCCTCCCAGTGCTGCCACCCCCGGCACAGCCTAGCCCAGCCCAGCCCAGCCCCCGCTGGCAACAGCCCGGTGCTGGCCCCAGCCCTCAGCTGCAGTGCGCCCCACCCCACGCACAGATCTAGGGGCACATGCGCCCTGTGCTCTCCTGGTGGGAGCCAGGGAAAAGCACAGGACGGAGCCACAGCTCAACCAGGGGGCAGGGAGAGTGGCACCTCCCTCTGCTGTGTGCACCCTGGGAGGGCACAGGGGCATGTCCCCCCGGATCTGCATGGGACAGGGCCACCTGCTGCTGCAGGCTGGGGCCGGGGCAGCACCAGGCTCTTCCCGGCTGGGGCTGGGTCAGGCTGCACTGGGGTTGGGCAGCGGTGGTACTGGGAGGGGACTACAGGGGAGCTCCTGATTCCTGAGGGAAGTCTGAGAGCGTTTCCTGCCTTCTGCAAGATTTCCGATTACCTGCTTCTCCCCAGGGGGTGAGAAGGAGAAACTCTTCAGGAACGTTTCCCCAGGCAAGGAGTGGCAGCCTTGCTCCTTCCTATCTTTGGTGCAGAAAAGGGTGGTGGGCACACAGTGCAATAAAGAACCCAAGAAGGGAGACCACGTAAAGAGGAATCCCTACAGCTCACACCCTCTTCTGCCAGACAGAGGGTGCGTCTACACAAGATGCTAACCACACAGTAGCTAATACACTACTGTGCAGTAGTATTAGGCTTGTAGAACTTGTAAAATTGGTGCAGTAGCGCTAGTTACTGCACCTTAATTTAGTACTTGGTTATTCAAGTACTAAACTTAATGCACAGTAACTACAGCACACTAATGAATGTGTAGACACACCCAGAGTGAAACTTTGACCACAAGGTGATTGAGTTCAGGATCCTGAGGAATGGAAGGATGAAGAGCAGCAGAGTAAGGACCCTGGACTTCAGAAAAGCAACCTTCAGCTCACTCAGGGGACTGATGGGTAGGATCCCCTGGGAGGCCAGTCTCATGCAGAAAGAAGTTCAGGACAGCTGGTTGTAATTTAAAGAAACCTTACTGAGGGTGCAGTAATAAACCATCCCAACACACAGGAAATCTAGTAAATATGGCAGAATACCAGCTTGGCTTAGTAAAGAACTTTTCCGTAAGCACAAAAAAGAAAGCTTACAAGCAGTGGAAACTTGGACAAATAACTAGGGAGGAATATAAGAGCATTGTTCGGATATGCAGGGATGAAGTCAGGCCAAAGCACAACTGGAGTTGCAGCTAGCAAGGGATGTGAAGGGTAACAAGAAGGGTTTCTACAAGTATGGTAGCAACAAGAAGAAGGTCAGGGAAAGTGTGTGTCCTTACTGAATGGCAGGGTGGGAAACCTAGTGACAGAAGATGCAGAAAAGGCTGAAGTAGTCAATGTCTTTTTTACCTCAGTCTTCTCCCATACTACTGCACCTGGCAGCATAGTTTAGGGAGGAGGTGAGAAGCTGAAAATGGCAAAAGAACAGCTTAGGGACAATTTAGAAAAGCTGGATGTATACAAGTCCATGGGGCTGGATACAATGCACCCAATGATGCTGAGGGAGCTGGCTGATGTAACTGCAGAGCCACTGGCTATTTGAAAACTCATGGCAATTGGGAAAAGGGCAACTATAGTGCCCATTTTTAAGAAAAGGAAGAAGGATCTGAGGAACTGCAGACTGGTCAGCCTCAGTTCCATCCCTGGGAAAACCATGGAGCAGGTCCTCAAGGAATCCATTTCTAAGCACTTGGAGGAGAAGGTTATTACTACAGTCAGCATGGATTCACCAAGGGCAAGTCATGCCTGACCAACCTGATTGCCTTCTATGATGAGATGACTGCCTCTGTGGATGAGCGGTGGCAGAACAATGGATTGATATATCTTAACTTTATCAAAAACCTTGCTAATCTCCCACAGCATTCTCTCAAGCAAGCTAAGGAAGCACAGGTTGAATGAATGGACTGTGACGTGGATAGAAAACTGATTTTATCACTAGACTCTCAGCGAGTGTCTACATGCAGTTAGTGTGCCTAAATAAACTCTGGTGCAGTTTATGCCAGAGTTTATTGCTCCTACACCATTTGCATGTGCACTAAGGACTGCCACACATTGAGCCAGGATGGAGCAGCCATGGCTAGCAGGGGGTTCTGGGGATGGAAGGGACCTCAGGCCAGGGCTGGGAGGGGTAAAGTGAGTCCCCCTGTGAGGTGGGGAAAGAGAGATCTCTCCCTGATGCCAAACCCATCTGCCACCTTGAGCAACACCAAACCTTTCTAGCACAGCAGGGTCCAAAGTATCTTCCTCATCCGGGAGCAAAGGAAGAGCTGGGCCCCAGGCCAAGAGCAAGTCTAGAAACTTCATAAGCAGAAACTTAATCTCACAAAGCCTGAGCACCAAAACCCTGGTTCTGAGGAGAGACTGCCTTAGGCCCAGGGCAGGGCTGGGAGGGACTGCCAGAAACCTCATGCCCCAATGAATTTTCATGTTTGGAAAAGGCTGGGGTGGGAGTGTGCCTTCCCCTCCACTATATGCCCCTGAATAACCTGGTCAGGACTCTGAGGAGTGAATATTTTGCCCTTGCGATGGCCCCAGGCAGAATTTTTAAATGCTTTCCAGAAAGTATCATCATTCAAAGAGGAAAAGGAACTGGAGCCCCCCCTCCCCCCTGGCTGCAGACCAGACAACCATGCTGCACTAGGGCTTGCCCTGGGACAGTATTTGGGGGTGTCTGTGTGTGTACTCCATAGTTAGGGGCAGAGTAAGCAGCTGTGTCATGCTACTGGCAGCACAGCTCTCCTTGGACCTTGCACCTAAGCTAACAACCCTCCACGCGGGGCCCTGTCCCTTTCTCAGGCAAAACAGGCCAGTCATTTCCTCCCCCGTGCTTGGTGCCCTCAGACCTCACAGCACTGAATGAAAAGGCAAGAAGCAAACCAGCAGCACAGGGCAGGCGCTCTGCAGCTGCTAAGAGGCGGTCCAGAAGATTGTAGCCCTCTACCATTCTGCACGGGAAATGGGGGAGGAGAGCTAGCGTGCGTCTGTGCACTGCATTTTAAATATGCTGCCAGTTAACATCTGACCTGCGTTGGTCTGCAGACAGGGGTCAGACGCTGCCTGTGGTAAACCTGGGGGAAGACAAGGGAATCAGGCCCATGCACAGGGTCCCAGTGGGGCAGGCTCCCCTGTCTCAAATGCACCAGCTCTTGCTTTCTGCCAGTCATTCAGAGCCAGGAGTTTGAAAGGAAGAAGGAAGGAGCAAGCTGTGTGCCTGGGGGACAGGACCTCAGGAGGGCAGCTCTGCTGGGAGCTGGGGCAGTCAAGTGCCAAGGCAGAGGTAGGTGGCTAGTGGGCTGCTCATGGAGGCCTGTGTGCACGGAGGTGGGAGTGGATGGCCCTGGCAGAGCAGTGGGCTGGCTTTGACTGTGCAGGCCCGTTGGTTCCTGGCTCCCAGTTCCTTATCTGCATTTCCTGGTTCCTTATTTGCTGTTTCATTTTCAACAGTTTGTTAACCAGAGCTGAAGTAAGGAAAGTGTTCCTTGTGTCACTACATCTGTGTATTTGCTGGTAAAAAGATAATACTGTATCACTAAGCAAGTACATTGTGCTGAGGAAGGAGCTGAAGTGCATGAAATACAGGAGTCTTTCTCTTACCTCATTCATTGCTGACACATTTATAACCGTTGAGAATGAAACTGGGGAGAAGGGACCAGGAACTGGGAATAAGGAACTGGGAACTACCGAGTGCAGGCCAAGCCCTATCAGGAGAGACTGGGGCACCTGGACCTCTTCAGCCTCCGCAAGAGAAGGTTGAGAGGCGACCTTGTGGCTGCCTATAAGTTCATCACGGGGGCACAGAAGGGAATTGGTGAGGTTTTATTCACCAAGGCGCCCCCGGGGATTACAAGAAATAATGGCCACAAGCTAGCAGAGAGCAGATTTAGATTGGACATTAGGAAGAACTTCTTCACAGTTCGAGTGGCCAAGGTCTGGAACGGGCTCCCAAGGGAGGTGGTGCTCTCTTCTACCCTGGGGGTCTTCAAGAGGAGGTTAGATGAGTATCTAGTTGGGGTCATCTAGCCCCAGCCCTCTTTCCTGCCTATGCAGGGGGTCGGACTCGATGATCTATTGAGGTCCCTTCCGACCCTAACATCTATGAATCTATGAGTGCAGGGAAGAGGGGCACCCCCTAACAACCTGCTAAGAACAGCAGCCACCTCCTGCCACATCCCTTACGTAAAGTCCTCTGGCAGTGGGGAGGACAGCTCTGCCCTTATCCATATCTTGCTTTAATTTTTGAGCTCTGATGTTGGGGCCCCCAGAAAGGACTGTCTGAGACCCTCATTGGCACCCAGCCAGCACTGCTTTTATGGACTTGGAGAGGGGGTTTGCTGCTGGCCTACCACCCTACTGCCCACTCTACAAGTCTTTTCTGTGAAGCTTTGGGACACATCAGAGGGGTTAGACACTCTTGACCTTTTTCAGACCACGTAAACTAGGCTGGGGTGCTGCCTGGATCAGAGATATTTGGAGAAAACCACACTTGCCAGACAAGAAGACCTGGTAATTCCATGGGACACTGCCCCCCCCCCCCCCCCCCCCTTGCAGGGCAGCACTGGGCCGCCTGAGAACTGGTATAGCAGGTTGTTAAACTTGTTGGTATTTTCTACAAGAGCTGAAAGTCAGACCAGGTGTCCTAGCTGAGTTCCAGAGCAGGTAAATGCAGTGGGAATGCTAAATCCCCCATAACAGAGCACTATATGGATGTTAGAGTTTATACACTTTAAAAGGGAAGTTACATTTTCCTTCCACTGTCTGTCCTCTGAAGTCATTGCAGAGTGCTCTGCAGCCATGGTGTGCCACCCCAGAGCTGGCTGCATTTGGACAAGGCTGGGACAAGGTGGCTTGTGCATATGGGATGAGTTTGGCTCCTCTGGGGAAATGGTGTAAACTCAGAGTGATGCAGAGTGCTGGTCTGCTTCTTTGCAGCTTCCCCAGTGCACCTAACCCATTTCATCCCCCGATCTCCTAGCTGTGTGGGATCCACAGGGGCCAGGAGGAAGGCAGCTGGGGCAAGGGGCAAAAAAAGCAGCAAGGGAGGCCTGGAAAATATGGTATGAAGCAGGACAGAAGCAGCTAGGTAAGAAAGGGGAGCAGGAAAAGCTAGACTAGGTGTATAAAACAAGAGCAGTGAGAATTTAAAGCAATTTCCCAGCAGCTGGGGAAGAGGAAAGCTATGCTTTATCTTGGCACCACTGATATGAATGTCTACAGAGGTGCTGCCTTTTGTGGGGGCTCGAGGGGTCAGGAGAGGACATTCCCACAGCTGTGAGCCATCAGCCCCATGCACTGAGCAGAATGTTCTGGGAAAGGTGAGAGTGGCCAGCACCACTCATTAACCCATTCCAGCTCTTGCTGCTTCACTGTTCTTTCTCCCTTTTCCTAGGGGTTTGGGATCATGATGAAACTGCCAGCCCAGGGCCACCCACCCTCTAAGGAAGGGGAGGGAAGCAACTGTTCCACCCCCACTTAGCCACCTGCCCCTTCCAGATGCATGCTGCCATGGCTCAATGTCTGAACCACATTGCAGGGTAGGGAAGCCAGGAATGCAAATGACTGATTTGAATGTGGCAGTATACTGTCTTTCCATCTCTGGAGCCCTAGTTGTCCTCTAAAGCAGTGGTCTCCAACCTTTTTATGGTGAAGATCACTTTTCGTAAGTAAAGGGCACCCCAGGATCTACTGCCCCGCCCCCCAGCTCCTGCCCTGCCCACCTCCCAGAAAAGCTGCCCAGGGTCTGACCCCACTCACCTAGCCCAGCCCAGGCAGCAGAGGATGTCTCAGCCCAGCCACGTGCATCCTGCTGCTCCCAATTGTGGAGCTTCTGACAGACTGAGATCAACTGTCATGATCGACCAGTCAACTGAGATCAACTGGTTGGTGACCACTGCTCTAAAGAGACCCTGCTGCAATGGGATTCGTGTAGGAATCAGGCCTGGGCCCTCTCTCTGCAGAGTCCCTGCCCTGCACTATGTATAGGAGCCTGTGCAGTGCTGTGGTCTTGGCAGAGAAGATGATAGAAGACAGTACCTGAGCACCACCAGGAATGATGGAGGTCCCTCTTAAAGAGCTTATAAGCTGACTCCTGCCTGGTCTGTTTCCCTCACAGAGCTTCTGGTGCCCAGGGCTTCTTACCCCAGATGGCTGACAAAAAACTGATAGTTGTCTTTGGAGCAACAGGCAAGTAAATCTGGAAAGCTGAGCACAGAAAAGGAAAGTCCACTGCAGCTGGAGGCCCCAGCAGTGTCTGCACTAGCGACAACCTAGTTGTGCTTCCAGCTCTGGGTCACGTGCTGCAGGGTGGGTGCATGTCAGTCACTGTGCCAAAGGCCTGGCTGGGATGGGGTGTCAGAAGGAACTACAGGAGTGTGCAACCCACTTGTGTCCTGACAGAGGTAAGTTGTTGCTGATGGGGAAACTGGTGGGAAATGATGGAAATTCCCCTTCAGAGAGGGAGCCAGTGCAGCCCAGTGGGAAAAGTCATATAGGTCAGCCCATTAAAACACAGCCAGGCTCAAGGTGGCTAACATCTAGGAGATACTAGTCTTTGAGTGCTGGGAGGTAGGATGGGTAGAAGGTAGTGATCTTGCAGTGGGGGAGGGATACGTGTTCCCAAAGTGGAGGCAGGACACTACCTCCCCAGTAGTCAATGACTGGAGGACAGTCAGTTGTGAGTCCATGGGATACAAATTATACAGGCGTGATACAACAGGTTGTACTAGTGGGGACTGGCACTGTACACAGATTTCTTAACTTGGGCAATTGGAGGCAGGGGTTGCCATGTGCGTCTCTGTGCACACATGCATGGGGCTTACATACAGCCAGGCAGGATGTTGGGAGCAGCCCCTGCAGCTGGATGCAGGTAAGCGGGGGTGGAAGGCCAGGGCTTGGGGACTGTCCAGGGGGGTGGGTGTGTGTGTGTGTGTGTGTGTGTG